GTAGTGCCCCATTAGAATGTTTGAAGCTAATTCAAAACTTTCCCTTACTATTCACTCAGTTCAATTTTCTCCAAATAGGGACTAATCTTATACATCCCTCAGAACTTTTTCTTTGACTTTGAATATTAACAAAACTTTTTTATTTCGTCTACCCTCAAATCAGGTACCTAAATTTAGCTTTCAACTCAATTTAAAGGACTATCAGATTCATTTCCTCTCTCTCTGCCTAAGAAGAAGACCAAGTGTTGTAGCAGTTCCGAATTTTATACCTTTATAAAATTATATATTTATTACAGAATAAGAGTTGGAAGGGACCTTAGAGGTCTTCTAGTCCGGGGGTAGGCAAGCTTGGCCCTTTTATGACTCGTGGACTTCAATTCCCAGAATTCCTGAGCCAGCTGGCTCAGGAATTCTGGGAGTTGAAGTCCACCAGTCATAAAAGAACCAAGGTTGCCTACCCCTGTTCTAGTACAATCACCTGCTCAAGAACCAGATCCTATACCATTCTGCACAAATGGAAGTCCAATCTCTTCTTTAAAACTTCCAGTGATGGAGCACCGATAACTTCTGGAGGCAAGCTGTTCCACTGGTGAATTGTTATCACTGACTAGAAATTTCTCCTTAATTCTAGGTTCTCTGTTTGAGAAGCTTCATATAAATTATATCTTTATGATTTATATCAGCTTTATATCTTCTTCAGAAATGCAAGGGTAGCACTGTTATCATTTTGACCCAGTGATTTAATCAGAATAATTCTGGAAGGGATCATGGAGGTTTTCTAGTCCAACCCGCAGCTCAAGCAGGATTCCTATACCATTTCAGTCAAGTGACTGTCCAGTCTCTTCTTAAAAACCTCCAGTCATGAAGCACCCACAACTTCTGATGGCAAGCTGATCCACTGGTTAATTGTCCTCACTGTTGGGAAGTTTCTCCTTAATTTATCAATTAATTAATGATTAATTATTATTCTCCTTTATTTTATTTATTTAGTTTACAAACTTTCCCTCTCCCCTCCCATCTTAATCAAGTAACCCTGGATGAGTAACAAAACATAAAAACAGAAACCTACATATGAAAACAGCAACAAAAAAGAAAGCCAACAAAGATGACCAATAAAAATAATCAACTCATCAAAACAGTTGAACAGTGCAGGACAAAACACACACAAAGGGTTCCTCTAGCATTCCGACTTTGAAGCCAGAGGGAAGAACTAGATTTTTCTTGCCAACTGGGTTGGGGTCATCTGAACCCCAGAGGAGGGGGAGTGGGGACTGTTTCATAAGGAAAGCTTTCATAAAATCTAATTTGATTTATACTTCCAACTTCCCAGCAGGATAAATGGGGAACTTCCATCTTGTCCGGCATTTTCTCCATCTTCCTCCATTTACCTGGGGATTCTTGTTTGTTTAAATCCACCAGCCTGGATTTCTTTTCTGGAAAGTTTGAAAGTATGCTCACTCTTTTGTAGTAGTAATTAACATTCATAATATTGCACTATTGTTAGCAACCCCTCTGGGCTAGACACTTCTCCAAGGGAGATGAATTTCATAAAGTCAGCGTTAGCTTATTTTTAACAGAGGCAGAAGTGTTGATACGTTTTCAGTTTTAATCTCTTGACATCCCACCATAATGGGGCTTTATTCATCAGTGCATGCTTCAGAAGGTTGTATAATGAGCTGCTGTTGAAAGAAGTGAGATTTGTCATCATGCGTCACTCTGCAGGGACTGTATGTGCAGGATAGGTTGCCCAAGTATGGTGAATACAAACGTATTTTTAATCAAATAGTTCAGCATATAAATTCATGTAAACCTCAAGGATACTTGGAAGCTGCTTTTTATTGCATACTCCATCAGAGCAAGCATCATTTTTACACTGTCAGCTGGCAAGAATTAAGATACAGTGGTTAAAATAACAAGAACAACAGCATATTTTATCAAAGCTGTTGGTCAAGCAAAAAGTATAATGATGAAGATTTGGGTTGGCACCAGAGAAATCCAAATTCAAATTAGTTAGGTAACTGGACCACTCTCCTCTCCTCTCTTCTCCTCAATATTTTTTGTTGAAACCCAAACCATAGATTTCTGTTCCTAGCTGTTTCTTCTTAGCTATGGCATTTCATCCTATACACAATTATGGCATAATAATTATATGCTTGAAATACAAAAGAATGCTATTAGATGAAAACCAACAGGTTATAAAGATGTGCCATTCTTTTAACCAACCTATCATTGTTCCACATAGTGACAAACGCTTCCTAACACGCCTTTAATTTGCTTCCCTTTTATGTTCTAGATTTATCACTTGTTATTGCTCTGTTCTCCATCCAGTATTTTGGGGCCTTTATTAACATATGAATTTTAACAAAATTGAAAGGCAAAAAGGACAAGTATAAACAGTGGAAAGGGGCAAATAACTAAGGCAGAATATAAGCAAATAGCCTGAGCTGCAAATATGAAGTGAGGAAACCTAAGGCTCAAAATGAACTAAGGCTTGCGACAAAAATCAAAAATAACAAAACAAAAGCTTCTTTCAAAATGTAAAAAACAAGAAAAAAGTTAAGGAAATGATTGGTCCATTAGTGGGAGAAAGTGGCAAGAAGGTGACAAGCAGAACTACTTAATTTGTTTTTTGGAACTGTCTTTACACAAAGGGAAAAACAGTCCAACCTATCAAAAACAGTACTGTAAAAAACAGATTAGAAACACAAGCAAATGGTAAGTGAGCACCTGTCCACCTTAGATGAGTTCAAATCACCAGGACCAGATGGATTACACCCCAAGTTTCTGAAGGAACTTGCAGATGTGATCTCAGAACCACTGAACTATATCTTCCAAAGATCCTGGAGCACTGGGGAACTACTAGAGGACTGGAAAAGAGCTGATATAGTTCCCATCTTTAAAAGGGGGGGGGAATGGATCCAGGAAACTACAGATCTATCAGCTTGACCTAAATACCTCGGAAGATTCTAGAAAAGATAATCAAACAACGAATCAGTGAACACCTAGAGGCAAACAAAGCCATAACCAAAAGCCAACATGGGTTTGTCAAAAGCAGATCATGCCAGACAAATCTTACTGCATTCTTTGACAAGGTGACAAAATTAGTGGACCAGAGGAATGTTGTGGATATAATTTACTTGGACTTCAGTAAAGCATTTGTTAAAGTAGGCCACAACCTACGACTTGATAAGATAGAAAAATAGCATCACCACCAGATGGATTTGTAGCTGGCTGACTGGCCATACTCAGTGTGGTGGTCCTCAATGGAACTGCATCTACATGGAGGGAAGTGTGTAGTGGTGTGCCCCAAGGCTCTGTTCTGGGCCCAGTGCTCTTCCACATCTTCATCAATGATTTGGATGAGGGGATAGATGGGGAACTCATCAAATTTGCAGGAATAGCCAACACTCCAGAAGAGAAACTTAAAATACAGAAGGATCTTGACAGACTTGAATATTGGGCACTGTCTAACAAAATAAAATTCAATGGTGAAAAAAGTAAGGTTCTACATTTAGGCAAGAAAAATCAAATGCACAGGTACAGTATAGGTGGTACCTTGCTCAATAGTAGTAACTGTGAGAGGGATCTTGGAATCCTAGTGGACAATCGCTTAAATATGAGAAGAGACAAAAGGACCAATTCTGCACAAGACCAAGCCTTAAAAAGAAATGTATGCAAAACCAGAATTGAGAAGACAGTAACAGACAGCAAATGTTCCCTCTGCACAAAGAAGGCACAATGAACTACCTAATTAGTTGCTGCAAGAAAAACACACAGACTAAGTACAAGCAATGGCATGACAAAGTAGCAACAATGGTGCACTGGAATATCTGCAAGAAAGTACCACTTGCCTGCAAGCAAGAACTGGCGCAACCATAACATAGATAAAGTAATATAAAATTAAGAAACCAAAATGCTCTTGGAGTTTAGAATTCAAAGAGACAAACGTCTGCTACACAATATCCCAGACTTAACAATTGTTGATAAGAAAGCCAAAGAAAGTCTGGATGATGGACATTCAATATCTGAAGACAGCAAAACAGTGGAGAAAATTACAAAGAATAAAGACTTACAAATAGAAGTAGAACAACTGTTCCAAAACAACAACAAAAACAAAGATAAGTATCACTAGTAGTAGGTGCCTTGAGTGCAATCTCTGGAGCACCACTTGAACACCATCAGCATTAACAAAATCACTTAAGTGTATTGCAAAAGGCATCCTCACTGGGAAAAGTTTACATCCTGCAATGGTATTTTAATCCCATCAAACAACAGCGTCTGCCTATCATTAGGTCCTCGGGAAGGACTTGATAGGTAGATTAAAAAAAATGTCAAATCCAGTCTAAACATCTGATTGATTATATGACCATACATAATAATTTATATACCGCATGACTCCCACCAACATTTGGGAATGCATAATGGGCCTTCCTAAAAAATTACTTGTCATGTACTATGTTCTGTTTGAGCCCTGGGTTTCTGTTTTGTTTTGCTTTTTGTTTTGTTTTTGGGTACATTTGTCTGGATAGATAGGATCATTCTGAAGCAAGTGGAATAGATACCCATTTTTTTTTTATTTTCTAAGAAAATTGTGAGTTCAAGGAGCATCCTTGTAAATAAAGATATCCCATGCATGTGCTTGGCTTTGCAGAATGCTAGGTTCTATATTTTTGTATAAAAGAACAGATGGAGCAAGGATCATGGCAGAAACCAGGATTGCACTGGGAATGCCAGGAGTAACATCTTCTGATATGTCTTAAGAGTCTTCAGTGTATTTAACTGGCTGCTACTGTAAATGGAATACAGAAATATCTCATTAGGCATTCATGATCACATACCAACTGCTTAGGTAATTGAATAAGATTATAACACTATCCATTGCTCCATTTCTGTGTAGCTGAACCTGCTTATAAGCAAAGTTTATTTGTTTTTCACTTATTGAAAGTTTAAAATCCCTGCATATTACATTCACAGGTAACAGAATTCTTATTTCATTCCAGTCTTGTTGATGCATGGCGAGAAGATATTGGAGTCTCTTCTCTTACATTTCCGTCAAAAACCTGTTTGGAACTTCTATTGATACTGTCTCAGAGTAATGCTTCGTTGCCTCCTTCTCTTCGCTGGATGAATTCTTTCCAGGTAAAGAAATTATACTCTTTCATGTAATATTTTAACATTGCAAGAATAAGCTTTGGGATCTCGATCTTTATCCAAATGAATAGTTAATAATATATTTCATTGACATTTCTTTGCTCTCTTCATTTAGTACCCAATTATGGTTTGAATAAATCATTTTTATCCATTTTTATGCACAAAATGGAAGCTAATATGTGAAAGTGAAGATAGTATTGTATTCGCATGTTTAAGTTACTGAAAAGTTACATTTTTTGTTATATTTTTTTCCCTCCTTTGTACAAGAGGTGTGGGGGGCTTCTAGATCAGCGGCTCCCAACCTTTTCTATACCCTGCTGCACCCCTAGAAAGCTTCTGATATATTCTCGCACCCCTTACAAAAATTCAAAATAACGGTAGTGAATTATGCATATACACTATCATTTTGAAAACCCAAGTTTTCGCACCCCCTGGAATATTGTCTCGCACCCCCAGTTGGGAACCCCTGTTCTAGATAATCAATCTTCTCTGCCCTTTGAGTGATCCTTGCCACCATCAGTCATACAGCATTGTCCTGGAATGTGCTTTTGGAAGATAAATTTCCAAAGTTCTAGAATTCCTTTCTGTTCTATCTACTTCATAAATGGATGAAATCCCAAAATCCAGTGAATTCATCATGCTTGTGGGCATATTTTTTAACCAGAGAGACTTAGCTGCCACATTTTAGCCATTTAGCCACTAGCCGTAACTAGTATTTCTACTTATCAACTTAACCCAATTTAATAATATGATGCAGCGATCCTTGCACCTGGGGGGGGGAAGCTCCCAAGTGCAGTTTTGTTGACATGCTACTTGTATGTTACTGTAATGGCTCAGCGGTTAAATACACTGAACTTATCATCTGGAAAGCTGACAGCCCGGATTCATGACCCAAGCGCTCCCTGACAGGGTGAGCTCCCGTTACTTGTCCCAGCTCCTGCCCATCTAGCAGTTCGAAAGCATGCCAATATGAGTAGATAAATAGGTACCACTTCGGTGGGAAGGTAACAGCATTCCCTATGCCTTTGTGTATAGTCATGCTGGCAACATGACCATAGAAATATTTTTGGACAACAGTGGCTCCCTCCGCTAGGAAATGGAGATCAGCATTGCTCCCTAGAGTCAGATGGGACTGGAAAGGAGAAACTTTACCTTTACTTTTACTACTTGTTATTGTATCCCTAGGGGTCCCAAAGTCAGGGAGCCAAGCATGTCTCTGACAGAGTATGATGAACCTCAGCTTATTTCCCTTCAGGGGGAATGCCCAACTCCATTTCCTCTATTTTAAGGAAGCCATAAACCTCTCCCGGATGGAGGATGTAGCCATTCAATCACCTGATAGGGTTTCTAAACATTTGAGAAAAAGGGTCACCTGGAGCATCAAGACGATGCTGAGCAAAGGAATCCTATGGCTCCTCAAGGTTTCTTAAAACTTTACTTGAGCAAAAACAGGAGCTGGGACAATAAATCCTAAAATGAGTGTTAATTCAAGCTGTACTTTTTTTACTTGAGCTTTATCCTCTGCCAGAGCTCAGGTCTGCCTCATTTGTTGTGAATACCTATCCTTAGCTGGCCTCTGTAAACACTTCATGCGTTCTAGAGGACTGTCTCTTCCTCACATATTTATTTAATTAATTTAATTTATTTACTTATAATTTATAGGCTGCCCATCTGATCTCAAGATAACTCTGGGCAGATTTTGCCGGGATGTCAAACTTCACAGGGCCTGCTAGAATAACTTAGTTTTCTTTACAACCCAGTTCTGGCAGCAGATGGTAAAGGAAAGGTTTTGAGGCTTTACAGTACATTTGTCACTTTATTTAAAAAGCAGTTTACCTCCTGCATTCTTTGGGGAAATTCTTTTGCAAACGAACCCCGCAAAAATGTACAAATATCGCTGTGTTACTTATGGTAATAAGTTGCTGATTGTGCTAAAACCCCAGGTTCACATAATAAAAGATATATTCTGGGTATTTTTTCGGAGGTCAGTGTGATTTCTGTTTGAAGCAGAAATAAGAATTCTCTACTCTGTTTAGCCCTTTGGGTATCATTGTTTAAGGGGGGGGGGACAGACACCTCAAAATGCTTGCATAATAAAATGCTGAAATGGCCATGGCTGGCTTGAGGGAGGAGCTTTTCCAATAAATGCAAGATTCAGATAGGAATGCTATTTGGAAAAGAATATACCGTAGTCTTGGGGAAAAGTCACTCCTAGAGTCATTCTGTTAAATTGGATAGTAATGACAACATCAGATTGCATTTTGGGGTTTAATTTTATTTTGGAAATATATAAGCTGCATGAATTAATACACAAGAAGCAATTTCATCACTGTGTCTCATATAAGAGGTTGAAAACCACAAAAAGGAAATACAGGAAATTTTTTTTCTAAACTATTGGAGAATCCTATTCCAGAAATACAATTTTAGAGCCAGGTGGACATTTTGTTTTAATAAAGAGAAATTGGATAATAAAGAAAAAAAATATGGTTCAGGAGTGAAATGAATCACTGGATTTGATAGATCCATATAACCTCAACATAAATATTACTGCTATTCCTCTTAGAATCAATTCAATCTGTTTAGACCAGTGGTTCTCAACGTTTGTGTGACGGCGACCCCCGTCACACAAACGTTCTGCGCATGCGCGGCGGCGCCCCCTGAGGGGAGAAAATGGCGGATCGCCTTCTTTGGCAACCCCCGAAAAATGGTCGATTGACCCCAAATGGGGTCGCGACCCATAGGTTGAGAACCACTGGTTTAGACTGTGGCCTGATAAGAAATGATCACAGAATCCACTATAGATTATAAGACATTTTCTCTACTGTAAAGCACTAGGACAAAAGTCTGCTGTTAGGCAACGTACATATGTGTGTATGTGCACACACACACACACACACACACACACACACACACACACTGCATGCTATCCTTAGCTGCGCTGACTTTATATTTCTTGCCTGAAATGGCTAATGTACATCTCCATTTTCTGCTATGAACAACTTAAAGAGAAACCAAAATTATAGCCTTTGGGACATTATATTTTTTTCTCCCCCACACCCAGTTTTATATACCCATAAAAGAAAACATCAATGGTCTATTTCATTCCAGCAATCCCTGTTTCACTCTGAAACCTTCAGAGTTAATGTCTGACAGATACTAAAGTGAAATGCTGGCTTTTTTCCCCGACAGGAGTGTTAGGAGAAATGTGTTAAGTTGTCTGATGTATCTAAAAAAGATTTGTGCTTGAGTTCTTGTTTGCTTGGGTTTTCTTTTTTTTATATATTCAAAAGTTTTATTAGTTTATAATATACAATTCAATCGAAATACAAAGTAAATAGCGGAAAAGATGGGAAAGGGAAAAGGAGCAGAGAAGTGAGATGAGGGAGAAAAAAGGGGAAAAAAGGCATTGACTTCTGAATTCCTTTGGTACAACAACAATAATAATAATAGTAATAGTAATAATAGTAGTAATAGTAAAGTTGGAAGGGACCTTGGAGGTCATCAAGTCTAACCCCCTGCTCAGGCAGGAAACCCTATACATTTCGGACAAATGGCTGTTCAGTCTCTTCTTAAAAACTTCCAGGGTTGGAGCATTCACCGCTTCTGGAGGCAGGTTGTTCCACTGGTGAATTGTTCTCACTGTCAGGAAATTTCTCCTTAGTTCTAGGTTGCTTCTCTCCTTGATTAGTTTCCACCCGTTGCTTCTTGTCCTGCCTTCAGGCGCTTTGGAAAATAGCTTGACTCCCTCTTCTTTGGGGCAGCCCCTGAGATATTGGAACACTGCTATCATGTCCCCCCTCGTCCTTCTCTTCTTTAAACTAGACATACCCAATTCTAGCAGCCATTCCTTATATGCGTTAGCCTCCAATCCCCTAATCATCAGTAGAGTATCAACTTCAAACCTCAACTTTTTACTTTTACAAAATAATATATACTAGCCATTTCAATAACATCAAATCTATCTAATTGGGTTTTCTGTAGTCCTGATGTCAAAGAAGGCAAGGGAACTCTAGCAAAACATCAGCAGAATTTGTTTGTGTTTAATGTGCTTGCTTATATTGTCATAAACATTAAAGCTTAATTATATAAAACCATTTTTTTATTCTGAGAAGCTTACCAGTTTAATAAATATGCCTGGAGATTTTCTATACTATTACAAATTTTATTTACTGTAAACAGAAATCCCATAATTAAATGTTATTTGATAAAATAATTACAGACACACAATTAGAAAAAGGAAATTAAGCAACTGGGAAGATACTTCGTGATGATGTTTGAGAATGTAGATTCAAAAGTAGGGCTTTAAAAATGTTCTTAATAAACTGGTTCAGTTTGGACACCTGCTTTTTCATTCCCCTTCATTTGTCGCATGTTGTAATGGGAAGTGAGAAAGCTCTTGAGACACAGGGCAAAAAAATGCTGCCTAGGGATGGATCAGATAAGAGATGGCATAACCCACAATTGCATAAAGGATGGAGAATCAGGCGCAGAAAGGACCCTCTTTAGCTTCTCCGGTTGTAAAAGAGAAGGTGGAAGATTTGTACTTTCAGATATTCAAGATTCTGTTAATCTAGCTTTACAGTAAATTAGAATTAGCTCAGCTGGTCATATTTCCTGTCTGATCTACCTGGGCAAGCTGATACTTGTTGACTTTACTTCCAAGACCCTACCTGGTATCATATCACTATTCCCTTTATAATCAACTGGGAAACTCACGAAATGCTTATTTAACAAACCAGGAGAGGGGGAATTTTGAATGCAAGTTCAAATCTTAACCTCAAGCCAAGAAACAGGAAGGAAAAGAGTGTATCCCGGTCACACATTTTCATCAGCAAGCATTTTTCTTTTGGAAAGCTACTGAATGGCAGTCTTTTTTTATATTTTTCTTCTTCCCAGGGAGGCCAAACTGGATATGAGCACAAGTCCCATAACAGAGAGGAACTGGAATATAATCTCGTGAGTTCAGGCCCTTATTCTGACGAAGAGAT